ATTTGATAAAGCATGTTGTTGTTTATATTGATAATATTATAATTTATTTGAAGATTTTGTTTCACCATGTGGAGCATGTTAAGTTAGTTTTGATTACTCATATAAAAGAGAAATTTAATTTTAATAAGTGTAGTTTTTGCATCGAAAAAGTTCACTTTCTTGGCTTTATAGTTGGTAAAAATAGAGGAGTAAAAGTAGATAAAGAGGAAGTTAAAGTTCATCAGCTATTTGCCAATCCAAGGAGTGCAGCTAAAGTTCGGAGTTTTTATGGGTTAGCTAGCTCTATAAGGATTTATAAAGAATTTTAGTACCATAGCTGCACCATTGGTTGAATGACTTATGAAAAATAATATTGTTTTTATAGGGGGAAAGACAAGAGAATGCATTCAATTTTCTTTAGGAAGAAATTAAGCAATACACCATTATTTGTTTTTGCCTAGCTTTGATAAAACTTTTGAAATTGAATGCAATGCATGTGGTTTGGGCATATGTGATGTTATAGTTCAAGATGAAAAGCCTTAATGTATTTTAGTGAAAAACTAAATGAGGTAGCATTATTGAACTAGAACTATCCTACCTATGATAAAAAATTGTTTGCTTTTATTTATGTGACAGACAACACTACTTATGGCCTAAAGGATTTGTGATCCACTTTCGTATGTCATCATGATGCATGTGGTTTGGACATATGTGCTTGTTAGGATTGCACAACAACGCATACACTCGATCTAGATGAACACAAAGAACATGATAGAGAAAATGCAAGGAGAACTCTAGCTAAATGATTTATAATGATGACTTCAAGTATGTTCAGTAACAGAGAATACAGAAAGTACATTTTCAAAACTCTACTGGGATATATATATATATAGTTCAGTTTACTATAGCTTTACCAGATTTAACCATCTACAATATATATCTATTTACCATATATAGCTTTACCAAATATAGTTTTACTGGATATAACCGTCGACCAAGCTATAAATAAGAGAGTAGACTCCATAACCTAACAATTCTCCACTTGAAGACTGATGCAGTCAACCAAGAATTTCATTCTTCAACGATCATAACTATCTTCACTGCACCATACCAATTGAGGTTTTACACAATCTCAATATTCCAACATCAACACATTTTGTCAACATGTTTGCTAGATTCTTTGCACCCTCTATCTTTTCAAAACACATCACCATCTTTCACTAACCTGCAAGTGAAATGGTATCGCCTTTCATTTTTTATCTTTAAATGATAGACCGGGTTCCTCGCCAACTGTATGACACTCTGACTATCTCTATAAAGAATCTTTTCGTGCTGCTTCTTGCCCAATTCTTTCAGATAGTCAGTCATCCATATTGTCTTCTTTCCAACTTTAGCTATTGCCACGTACTCAGCCTCAATACAACACATTTTTGAAGCCTAGACGTCCCATTATCCATGGCTTACTTCGACTTGGTTGTACCCTCCAACGTAGGGCCTCCTCAAAGGGTTGTGGTTCCCTTTCATCAGCAATAGATAGTGTATGAAGGTACATACATATCTGGTACTCTAATAGTACAGGATGATCTTCTCAACACCTGTTCAGGTGTAACTTGCTCTACTGTTGGTTCCTCTGCAACAACCTCAGGAGTTTGTTGAGTATCTGCCACAAGATCACTAGGTGATTTTCTCCGCAACTCAACCTCAACTCCCACTTGCTTTGTTGTCTTGGAACCTTGCTCCACATCTGGTTCCTCAGCAGTAGTCTCAGGAGTTTCTTGAGTATCTACTACAACATCACTAGGTGAGTTTCCCTGCAACTCAAGCTCAACTCCCACTTGCTTCGTGGTCTTGGAACCTTGCTCCACATCTGGTTCCTCGGCAGTAGTCTCAGGAGTTTCATGAGTATCTACTACAACATCACTAGGTGAGGTTTCTTGCAACTCAAGCTCAACTCCCACTTGCTTCGTTGTCTTGGAACCATGCTCCACATCTGGTTCCTCAGCAATAGTCTCAGAAGTTTCATGAGTACCTACTACAACATCACTAGGTGAGTTTTTCTGCAACTCAAGCTCAACTCCCACTTGCTTCGTCGAATCTTGCTCCACATATGGTTCCATTTCCAACCACACTTTCTTCAATTCTCTGGCGGTTCTTATGAAGCTATGCTTGCCCATAACATAGTTCTCACAACGACCCACATCAACAGATTTCAGACCTTCTAAAACTCCTTTTGCGGCCAACGTCTTCATTTCTTTCATGCTCATATGTCCAAGTCTATTGTGCCATAGACTTGAATTTGAAGCACTCTCAACAACAGCAACTATGTTCATACACCCTGCAGTGGTGTATAAGGTTCTAGATTTTAAGCCATGTGCTACCACCGTAGCACCCTTCATAATCTTCCACGAACTCTTCCCTAACTTTGTTGCATAACCTGTGCTGTCCAATTGACCAATAGAGATCAGGTTCTTCTTGAGACCAGGAATATATCAGACATTCTTTAATGTCCACTGATTTCCTGCCGAAGTTTTTATGCAGACATCGCCTTTTCCTTTAATCTCCAAATCTTTGTTGTCGGCAAGATACACCTTCTCGAAATTTCCAGACTTGAAATTTCGGAACAACTCTTTATTTGGAAGCGAATGAAAAGATGCACCTGAATCCAAAATCCAGGATTCAATCGAACTGTCCACGCTGAGGATTAGAGCATCCCCAATGTCTTCTGCTGAATTTATAGAATCATCATCATCTTCAGATTTGTGATTCTGCTTCCTTTTTGGTCTTGTACAATCTATCTGAAAGTGACATTTTTCTCCACAATTCCAACACGTTACGTTTGGTCTATTTGGAGATTTTTTCGGTTCTTTGATTTTGGTCGCCCTTTGTTTGAGCCCTTTGGTTAACTTCTTCCTTGTTGGTCAACACTGAGAGCACTACTAGATGAATTTCCAATTTCTCGATTGCGAATACTTTCGCTGAGAACTACATCTCGAATTTCATCAAACTTCAGTTTATCAGATCCTCGCGAACTGCTGATTGCAGCAACAACAGTATCCCATGACTCGGGTAAAGATGACATCAAAATCAATGCTTTAATTTCATCCTCGAAATTAATTTCCACCGAACTCAGTTGACTTACGATCATATTGAATTCATTTATATGATCAACAACAGATCCACATTCAGACATCTGTAGATTGAACAATCTCCGCATCAAATACACCTTGTTCATAGCCGACGGTTTTTCGTACATATTCGATAGCGCCTTCAACAGATCTGACGTTGTTTTCTCCTTGATGATATTGAGCGCCATGTTTCTGGATAGCGTCAATCGGATCAGCCCTAAGGCTTGTCGATCCTTGAGCTTCCACTGCTCTATGGTCATGGTATCTGGCATCACCCCCAACAAGGGTTCGTGAAGACCTTTCTGATACAGATAATCTTCAATCTGCATTTTCCAGAAATCGAAATCGGATCCATCGAACTTCTTAATTCCAATCTTTGAACTTTTCATCTTCACAGATTGTGGTGACTTCTGCCTAGCTCTGATACCAGCTGTTAGGATCGTACATCAACGCACACACTCGATCTAGATGAACACAAAGAAAAGGATAGAGAAAATGCAAGTAGAACTCTAGCTAAAGAATTTATATTGATGACTTCAAGTATGTATAGTAACAGAGAATACAGAAAGTACATTTTCAAAGCTCTACAGGGAATATATATATAGTTCAGTTTACTATATATAGCTTACCAGATTTAACCATCTACTATATATAGTTATTTACCATATATAGCTTTACTGAATATTATTTTACCAAATATAGGTTTACCGGATATAACTGTTGACCAAGCTATAAATAAGAGAGCAGACTCCATAACCTAACAGTTCTCTTATAATTCAAGATGGAAAGCCCTTAATGTATTTGAGTGAAAAACTAAATGAGGCAGCATTGAACTAGAACTATCCTACCTATGATGAAGAATTGTTTGCTTTTAGTTTTGTGACAGACAACACTACTTATGGCCTAAAGGATTTGTGATCCACTTTTGTATGTCATTAAATAAGAGAGCATACTCCATAACCTAACAATGCTCTTATAATTCAAGATGGAAAGCCCTATGTATTAGAGTGAAAAACTAAATAAGGCAGCATTGCAAGATGGAAAGCTCTTAATGTATTTGAGTGAAAAACTAAATGAGGCAGCATTGAACTAGAACTATCCTACCTATGATAAAGAATTGTTTTCCTTTAGTTCTGTGACAGACAACACTACTTATGGCCTAAAGGATTTGTGATCCACTTTTGATGTCATCAAATTGCTTTTAGTTTTGTGATTGACAACACTACTTATGGCCTAAAGGATTTGTGATTTGTGATCCACTTTTGTATGTCATCAAGGTAAATGTGTTATCTAAAAGGTACGAGGCAGCATTGAACTAGAACTATCCTTCCTATGATAAAGAATTTGTGATCCACTTTCGTATGTCATCAAATCTATAAGCAAGGTAGAGATAATATGATAGCTTGTTATCTAAAAGGTACGATCTCTTTACTTCTCTTAGTGCAAAAATTCTTGGATTTGAGCATATTACAGAACTATATAGTGATGACAAGACTTCAGAACTATTTATGCATATTGTCTTACTCAATTAATTTTAAGTCTCTCTCCTTAGCCACTAAAGCACATCAACATTTGTTGAAAAATATTATTTTTAATTTCATAAATTATGTAAGGGTCAAATGGTCAATTTGACTTCGTCTTGTGTGAATATTAAAGGGGATCGAGATTAAATTCCGGCCACAAACATCTTTTGTCGGGAGACTATAAATACCCACAATATGTTATGTAAAAGGCAGATTGGTGGATGAATGTAATTCAGATCTCAAATTGAGACGTTTCCCTTATAAATTCGAGCATCAATTTTGTTATTTCTAAGTTTGAAGCAATTCTTGTGGTAGAATTGCATCCGAGCCATTCAATCAAGCCTTGATCAAGTTCGATTCTTGAGTGACTCAATTTAGAACAAGGTTTACAAATCTTGCTTCTAGATCTTTGTTCGTAAAAGATAATCTAATTCTAGCCTTATCTCTTAGTTGATCTGAATTTTGTATAACAAGGTGTTAATTACTTTGATTCAAGGCTTCTTGCTTCAACAAAAGCTTGGATCGTTGGGCTGAGGATTAGAGTTGCCTTATCAATGGGGGTCGTACCGTTTGAAGTTCCATAACCAATTTGCCCCTTTGTCTGGTTGCGGATTGTTGGCTTGTTGTGTGGCTATTCTTGTGGCTTGCTGTGTAGCCATCATTGTGGTTTGTTGTGTGGCTATCATTGTTTGCATCATCACCTAGAATGATTCCCACATTAATCGTGTAGTGGGATCCAATCCAACCGTTGGTGCTATTGATGGTGGTCCAACTTGTGGGGGAGGTGCATTTTCTGGAGGGGGTGCAGCTTGTGAGGGAGGTGCGTTTTCTGGAGAGGGTGCAACTTGTGGAGGGTGTACATATGTAGATGAGTTCCCTTGGTGGTGGTCCAAGTGCATAGGGTTCAGTCGTTCTCTTCTACCTCTTCTGCGTTCTCTGGGCGGCATGGTTCTAGAAACCAAGAAAAATAATTTTATCTAAGTCTATGGTTTAGTAACAATATTACTTACCATCTAGTATATAACTCAAGAAAACATTAATGTTGTGCCCCCAAAGACTTATAAGGTCAATGATACTATTTGTAACGGTTCAAGCCCACTACTAACAGATATTGTCTCTTTGTGCTTCCCCTCAAGGCTTTAAAATGTGTCTATTAGAGAAAGATTTTCACACTCTTATAAACCAATATTTTTTTCTCCTCTCCAACCAATGTGAGATTGTGTCTCCAACCAACGTGGGATTCTCACAACTTTAATATATTACTAGTAGATATGTAAACACTTATGCTTTAACTACGTTTTTAATCTAAAAAAATTTGAGTATTTACTCTAGTATCCAAATTTCTCAAAATGTTTTTTTAGATCCATCTTTGAGTCCATTATCAAGAACTAAAAATAATTTTATGAGAAAAGTTTAGAAATTTGATGAAAAATGATGGGAATGTCTACTTTTGGGTTGGCGTGGCTGATTCCGTTGTATTTGTCTCATCATCATCTTCCTCAAAATAGAGGAAGAAACACGATGACCAGCTCCATATGGCCTTCCACAGCTCTATAATAGTGGTTATTTCCCCTCGATTCCTTCGTGAAACTTAAAGATGATGAATCAAAGAAAAGAATTATATTAAGTTGATACTTTTTAGGTGCACGGTAGCGTGAAATATAATCTTTCAAAGTTCGCTAGAAAACTTAAACCTTATCCGAGAAAAATTCAAAAATTTCTTAGGGGTAATTCAAACCTTATGGGACCCAATTCATAAATGAAATCTCTTTATTATCTTCCCTTTACACAGATTCTTGAGCTTATATGGTGGCTCATAGGGACTATTTTAGTTTCCAATTTCTTCATTAAAAATCCTCTTATTGTCACAAAACTAATGGAATAGGCCTTATCCAATGAGCTTGATTATATAGACCGAATTTTGAGTTAACCCTAATATTTCTCTAAATCGACCTAATAAAAATTTTCTTCGATGCCCTCATTTCAGAGCTCTTCAAACCTCGACGTCATCTACAAAACGTATACTTGGTGTCCTAGCAAGTAAATGGAAGGGTACTTATGGGATGAATCTTTGCATAGTCTCTAGATTGAGTTTTCAAAATTTCTTCCATAAAAGTTTGAACAGTAGAAATACATTTGAAGTATTTTTAGCTCTCGAACCTTTCATAAAACTTATTAGAGAATTCGTTTAGAATTTGGAGGAACGAGTTTGAGGGAAATTGATGGTTTATAGCTCAATGGAAGCTAGAGACCTCAAAACTAAAAGCTAATTACTTGGTGTTTAGAAGTTTCCGTAACTTGGTTCTTGTCCCAAAATGTCGAGCAACCCTTTTTATTATAACCCAAGCTTCCACAACCATTTCGACGCCTCAACCTCACAATTTTGGACTTGATCAACTTCTACTCTCGACTTGGCATCTTAATTTGATACCAAATTAGCTCTTTTCATTATACATCTATTAAAAATTCTGGTTTTTCTTCGAAGATTCCAAATCTCAAAATAACCGAATATAAGACGTGAAAGCATACATTTAATCCGCTAAACAACATATAAACTAACATAAAATAAGGCATAATATTCTAAATAACATATTATTTATTAAAGCATCTTAAAAATAGTTGCAAAAAGTAAAAGATGAAGGGCCTTTTCATTAATGTAAAATAATTTAAGAAATTTGGCCAACTATATGTCATTTCTAATTTATCTAAAATTTAATATTTATAGGTAACGTCTTTGGTCTTAATGCAATTTCTCAAAAAATAATAAAATACTTTTAGATATTCAAATATATATTTAGGGTCTAAATCACTCATTATTCATCATTACTAATTAATCTAAAGTTGAATATTTATAATTAAGATCTCCTGCATTAATACGCAATTTTCGGTAGGGTCAAGAAGATAATAAATATTTTTTTTATTAAAAAAATAGTAATTTCTCCGAAATTAATTTCAATAAATCTTAAATTAATTTCTAAAATTAATATTTTATTGATTTTTTTTTAAAAAAAAATATAATTCTCTTTATAAAAATATATTAACAAAATAGTTTTTGTTGGATGAAAATTACTATTATTATTATTATTTAATAAATTTGAAGATTTTTAAAATATTAAATTAAGATTTATTCAAAATAATGGACTAAAATTACATAATTACTTAAACCAAATTAATTTTTTTTAATCCTAATTATTTTTTGACTCTTTTAAATAGTTTATATTCAAAATTGAGGGGTAAATCTTAATTAAATGTTTAATTAAATAAAAATAAAATTTTGAAAAGATGGCTCGAACAACCCAAACTACCAAACTAAAATAATCTACGGTTGGGTTGGACGGACTAAGTTCATTATTTAACAAAAACTATTTGAATTGACAAAATTTACCATATGAAAAATTGAGTTTGGTCTAGAAAATGTCTCAACCTGACTCAACTTAACCCACGAACATGACACTCAGAACTCATCAAAATTACAAGTTAGCATTACGAAAAAAAACCTAAAAAAAAAAAAAAGAAGTTTCTCGAGACTTATTGATGGATAATTTTGTTTATCGTTTTCAAATTTTTTTAGAAATAGAAGAATCGAAAATATACGTCATAATATTTTTTTAATTATACGTCAAAATACCTTAATTCAGTTGTAATTAACTTAAAAAAAAAAAAAAAGTAGTGGAAAATATTAGTCTGTGAAATTATAATTAAGTTCCTTTATTTCCACTTATTTCTAAAACATCCTCATTTCATCCACTACACAACCTCAAATTTCTTGAACAATCCACTTTCCAACCACATTATCAAATAAAATAAAATAAAATAATAAATAAATAAATATTATGATGAAAAGCAGTGATTATGTATCATTTGGTTGCCACGTAGAAATTAAAATAGAAATGATTAATTATAGACAATCATTATGACAACAAAATTTGATTTATTACGTCAAAAATAAAATTGTATTTGGATACAGATCAGCATCTTAACTCCACTAATGATCTACTTATGATTTTTATTTTTATTTTTGCATCATTAATTTGGTTTTGATAATTGTTATTTAAGTCTTAGTGAGGCCATGCACATGAATTCAAATAATGAAAATGAAATCTCGCAATGATGTTACACATTATGATGTTTGTAATCTATATATAATAATAAAAAATTTTAAATTAAGAGTTTCGATTAAATACCCATCATACATAAAACGTTGTAATCTAGAATTTTAGATTAATAGAAATTAAAGAATACTCATGTGGTCGTTTCAGATATGATGAGGGTTGTTAGACGAACACGACTCTCCACAATGGTATGATATTGTCCACTTTGAGCATAAAGTCTCATGGCTTTACTTTGGGCTTTCCAAAAGGCCTCATTCCAATGGAGAGTGTATTCTTAGATTATAAACCCATGACCATTCCCTAAATTAACCGATGTGGGACTTTCATCATCCAACAAGGGTAACATTTAAATAATTCAAAATAAAAAAAAAATATATTTTCCTCAATTTTTTATTCTATTTTAAATTTAAACATTATATATATATAACATGCGAGTTAGGCCACAAGCTTTTCCCGTTCAGCCACGTGGCCCAATCATATGATGCCACTCTCAAGCTCTTTTTGTCCTTTTTGTTTATATATTTTTTCTTTTTTACTTTTTTTTTATTTAAGAAATAATTGTTTTTTTTTTTTTTTTTTTTTTTTTTTTTTTTTTTTTTTTTTTTTTTTTTTTTTTTTTTTTTTTTT